GATATTTTAAGGTTTATAGTTACTTCCTGGAGGATGCGCTTTATGAAAATGGTGTTTTATTATTCTCACATCCCTACTGAGTCATCCTTGTAAAGGATGGATGTGGAAAAGCTCTCAGCTGATGTATTTGTTCATCAGTGAAGACCCAAGAGGAGCGTGGACTGCCACTATCAGCAAATGTGGTCTGTATTTTCCAAAAAATTGGCAAATGCATCCTGGATTGAGGATGTTTCCTGTTACTGAAGTTATACATGGATGATATTTATCCTTGTCTGAATCATTACAATTAGGATGGTCTGGGCTGCAGCAATTCCTCTGGTCCCTGGTTGTAGACATGAGCTCCAGTTGTCCAGACATCCCAGATAAACAAACTCTTTACAAGCATTATTGTGCACCACACAGGCAGACCAGAATGTGTGTAAACATCCCCTTGCCTCCACAGTACAATATATTGTAAAGTAATCATATGGGTCCTCTTACTTCTAGACAGATTCAGTGGTAGGATTATAATTTATCTCTCTTTGTCCCTCACCTCCCAGGATACCACTGCAATTGCCTCTCTCAGTTTACAGGAAGGAATTGTGAGTCAGAGATCACAGCCTGCTTCCCAAATCCCTGCCGGAACGGAGGCTCATGCGATCCCATTGGCAACGCTTTCATCTGCAACTGCAAAAATGGCCTGACAGGAGTAACGTAAGTGTCCCTCCCCAGGTGGGCAACAGCTTTTCAGTTCAATGATGGCTTGCTTTTTGATCAGGCATTTTGTACCCAAAAGCTATGATTCACCTAGCTAAAAATAAACCCAAACTTAGCACTTATTTCAAGTCTAAGCTAATTACAGTTGGAAAATCCATGATACTTGAATACTCATAAAGGTTTTTCTGAAACTTAGCCTCCAAAATTGTTGATTCAGGATGTTATTTTGAGACACTTTTCACTGAGATATACCTGTCTAAGTGTGGTGGCTTTTTGAGCAATCCTTCTTTGAGCAATTGTAAAACCTGTGGAAGCTGCTAGGTAATCTTTGTTTTGAAAGTGGATCCATTATTTAGTCACCTTAACCCTAACATAAAAGGATAATTTATTGCATTCATTTTTTAAAATTCCTGTATTGACTTTATACTTGGTGCAGATACAGCAAATCCCCTGACCTGCCCATCAGTATTCTTTTTTCTTGTCTGATTTGTCTACTGTTTGTACTTTTTGCTCTGCATTTTACCACCTCTTGCTCTTTCCAGTTCTCCTCTCTCATTAGGGTTCCTGTCCTTTTTTCCCCCGCCTCTCTAATATTTGCTCATTTTATCTCAAGCCCAAAATAATTTTACACAACCAGTATATCCTCCTCTTCTCTTAAATAAGTACTCCGATGTTTTTACTATATTTTTCCTCAACTGTCTTCTCCTTGAATCCTCCTCTAATATTTTGTATTGAATCCTATGGGACAGTCCAAAAACGATATAAAAAAAAGCAGAGATTCTCTGTTACAATCATTAGAGTCAAGTGCATCCTATCAGATGCTTTAAACTCTTTATTTTCTTCTTGATCTTTCCATTTTATTGTCTTAAAAAGACACAGAATAGACGTAGAAAAAATTCAATGCCATTAAAAAATATGATAATAGTAAGATTATTTGCTGAGCACCAGTGAGGTGTTAACTAATGGCACCTCTGACAAGGTAAGTTATCGTGCACAAGCTGGACTGTTTCCTAGGTGTTCTCCAAACTCCAGACTCTCCTTTCCTTCTTTTAAGGTGTGAAGAAGACATCAATGAATGTGAAAGAGAAGAATGTGAAAATGGTGGCTCCTGTGTCAACATATTTGGTTCATTTCTGTGTAACTGCACCCCTGGCTATGTGGGTCAATACTGTGGTCTTCGCCCTGTGGTGGTTCCCAATATACAAGCTGGGCATTCATACGTTGGCAAGGAGGAGCTGATAGGAATAGCCGTGGTCCTGTTTGTCATATTTGTGTTGATCGTCCTTTTTATCATTTTTCGCAAGAAAGTTTTCAGGAAGAACTATTCCCGCAACAACATCACACTCGTACAGGATCCGGCTACTGCAGCCCTGCTCAACAAGAGCAATGGCATCCAGTTCAAGAACATCAGGAACAGTGGAGACAGCAGAAATATCTACCAAGAGGTTGGGCCTCCACAGGTTCCAGTGAGGCCAATGGCCTATACCCCATGCTTCCAGAGTGACTCACGGAATAACCTGGACAAGATAGTGGATGGGCTTGGCGTAGAGCACCAGGAGATGACAACATTTCATCCTGAGTCCCCTCGAATACTGACAGCCAGGAGGGGGGTGGTGGTGTGCAGCGTAGCTCCAAACTTGCCTGCTGTGTCTCCCTGTCGCTCCGACTGTGACTCCATCAGGAAGAGCACATGGGAAGCTGGGACAGAAAGTAAGTACCACTGTGTGTTGGTCTCATTCTTCCGTACCATAGGTAAGGCTTAACTTCAAGGTGAGGCAGGTACAGTGGCACAGATACGCTTAATGCCCCAACCTCTGCATGTTGTTGTTACATGTGAGTTGTTACATTTCTCCAAGAAGTGATTTGGTTTAATTTTGAAAGGTTATAATTAAACTAGGCGTACAAGAGCTCTACTTCTATGCATTAAGCATGACTAAATGCATTTATTTCACTTGTTCAGAAAGCACATGTGAGTAAGTGCTCTGAGCGTTAGTTCTTCAAGTGACACAATGCAATCATCTTTCCATTGGAAAAAAATAATTTGGGGCATAATTCTCAAATATAAGTTGTGCTAGGTTCAGGCCATTTGTCTCCCCAAGGGAATTAAAAACCTTTAAACCTTCAGCAAGAAGCAATCCTGTTTTGCAACAGGGACAAATGAACTAATATTCTCTACTTCCAGTGTCTGTGAAGTGAAGCAGAAAATCATGTACTGCTCATAGGACCACCTTTTCAGTCTATTGCATTCCCATCTACATTCAGTATCAGTCATTGCAAAATTTCCAATCCCCATGCTTACCCTATTTGTGCTCTGATGGTTTCTCACCTGGTAACACAGTGTTCCCTCCATTCCTGAACAAGTTGCTGGAGATACAGCAAACTTCTCATAATCTGTCATGGCAGGAAATGCAGAAACAGAGTTATAGCCCTACATCATCTATCCTTGCAAGTCAGAACATGTCATATGGACTGGGAGATGTTTGCTTCATCATGTATGATTTTTTTTTAAGATGTTTTCTCTTATTAGGAGTTTTTCCTGATGCACCTTCCAGTACCTAGAGGGGGGCTTACAAGAAGGCTGGAGAGGGACATTTCACAAGAGTGATAGAACATTTCACTAGTGATAGAACAAGGGAGAATGACCTTGAGCTGATGAGTTTAGATTAGATATTAGGAAGGAATTCTTTACTGTGAGGGTGGTGAGGCACTGGAACAGGTTACCCAGAGAGGTTGTGGCTGCCCCATCCCTGGAAGTGTTCAAGGCAAGGTTGGATGAGGCTCTAAGCAAGTTGGTCTAGTGGAGGGTTCCCTGCCCTTGGCATGGGGATTGGAACCAGATGATCTTTAAGGTCCCTTCCAGCCCAAACCATTCTATGATTCTATAATCTTCAACCCTATTGCAACAAAGCTTTAACCAAAACTGTCAAATAAAAACTATATGATCCAGAAACTTTCATAGTCTTGTAGTTTTAAGCAATAGGAACTGAGGAATAGACAGAAGAATCTGGCACTGCCTTTAAGGAGACTGTAGTAAGATGGAGGTTGGCCTCTTCTTCCAGGCAACTAGCAGCAGGACAAGAGGACAACATCAAGATGTGCCAGGAGAGGTTCAGGTTAGACATCAGGAAGCATTTTTGTACTGAAAGGGTGGTTAAACCTTGGATCGGGCTGCCCAGGGAGGAGTCACCATTCCTGGAAGTGTTCAAGAAACGACAGCACATAACAGTTTGAGTTAGGGTTTAGTTGGCGTGGTGGTGTTCAGTCAGAGGTTGGACTCGATGATCTCAGAGGTCTTTTCCAACCTTAATGATTTTATGATTCTATACCTGTGCCCTGACCGGCACATTTTCATCTAAAGCAGCCCGTTGGCTAAGGTTTTCTAGTGAAAAACAGGGAATTAATTTTCGTTTATTTGGGCTGTGTTTCAGAGTTGTGTTGTGGTCGACCTTTTAAATCTTTAAATATAGTTATGCTGATTGAAAGCATCAGCATGCCAGCCCTCATACATGCTCTGTTCTGTATTCTCCTGGATGTTTCTGCCAGTGACACTTCTGGTATCTGTATGAATTTCTGCACAGCATGAGGCCATGCCATGGAGACAGACCTCAGCTGTCAAGAAGTGGGAAGCAGTGCAGCTTCATTACTGCAGCACTCACTCCATCCTCTACATACCCTGCTTCTCAGCAGTAGCAAATCAGCCCTTGCTGTATGGAGGTGTGCCATGCTGTGGAGAAATATCTGCAGGTAGCAGGTGGAGAGCTGTACTTCCACATTTGTAGCACCTGAGCTTCTTCATTTATAATTGGCTCAGCTCTCTCTCTGTGCTTACTATGGGGGATAACTTTTTGTGTTCCTGATTATCTCTTTTATAATATGTAGTTGAATGCATTTATTCAACATGTGTTTAATTACAGGCGAATTTATACCATAGGTTGCAGATATATTGCTAAACAGTGAAGTTGTCAAGACTGAATGTCCCTGATGAAAAGCAATGTAAATTGAAGGATAATCTATTATATGTCAGTGATGGAGCAATTAAAATCTGATCCAAGGGCCGCTGATATGAATAACAAGATGCACAATAACTTTGAGCATTGAATGAGCCTTTAATGAGGCTCACAAATTAGGAAATGAACGGTAAAGATAAATGTAACTGTAATCTCTTGTATAAGCTGTTTATACCACATTCTTTAAGTCATCACTTTTTTTGCTGTTGAGACTACATGTCATCTAAAAAAAGGCAATACTGAATACAGATGTTTCTTCCTTGATTACAGTGCTGTCAGCCACTTGAAAGACTCTTTGGGCTTCAAACACTTCTAATGTCTAGGTATCTTCAGCAGTTGCCTTCTTGATGAATAGGTCATTTCCTCTGGCTGAAGGAAATCATTTTATTCTGAAAAAAATAATAGAAGGCAGTATTTAAATGTGTCCGTGGTATAAATAGATAAATGTGCATACCTAGAGAGTACCTTTTTGCTTTGTTTTTGCTGTCAATGAAGGTAAAGGGGTTGATGACGCTGAAGAAGTGACCTGTTTTTCAGGAAGTAATAAAGGCAGCAACTCCGAAGTACAGTCCCTCAGCTCCTTCCAGTCTGATTCCGGTGATGATAATGGTAAGAAATGATTTTATCTGTATTATGCTTGGGGAAAAGCTATTTAGCTCTCTTTCTAATGTTATTGAAAACATTTATGTGACATCTTGAAAGCCTTTAATGATGCTGAAAGTCTCAGGTTCAAGCCCTCACTTTGTGTCCACATACTAAATTATAGGAATGTAATAAAAATCTATAGGAATGTGATAAAAATCTTGATGGTTGGGGCTGTTGCATCAGGACCAAGCTTTACAGTGAATTAGAGATATAGTACAGCATAGTCCTATTGACAAGATACATGTTGACTAATAGGCTGCAAGTGAAACTATAGAATTTTTATCATTTTCCCTCTTGGAAGAGCATGACTCATGTTTCATCAGTCACATAAAAGGAATTTCTGTGCCATTTGCCAGGTCTCATTCATGATCCCAACAAGACTCTGCTGGTACTCAGCAGCAACAATGAGCGGATGAGCCAGTCCCTGGTGGCTTGGCTTCTGCCTGGTAATCACAGCTCAGCAAACAATAGAGCACCATTAAATCCTTGTTCAGTGCATACTCAGTGCCTGCTCTCATGTCCTACATCATTATCTCAGTGGGTGACATGGGCAGAGCCATATACAGCCTGAAAAAAAAACCACAAAGTCAGAGCAAATCTTTGTTCCTACGACCCATATATGTTGAGTAGTGGGTCTGAGAAAAGGCACAAGATGTTTCTGCTGGGAAGGGATGGTGGATGTCAGGGAAATCTCATTCAGGTACACAGAAAAAGACTAGCACAAAGAAATTGTACTTGGTTTCCTCAGCTGCCAGTTAATGAACTGTCTGGAGACTTAGTTCCTCAGTCATGTCATGCAGCTCTTCTCTAGGTAGTCTGAAATGTTGGAAAAAGCACTGAAAGCGAAGTGCACTTGCAGTTCCTTTTGGTTCAGCTGTGTCTGAAGCATCACGATTATTTTTGTTAAGCTTCTCAATGCTTTTCTGCCCTGCACCCAAAAAAAACCTTTAATTTTTTTTAGAATAAGTATTATTTTAATGATATATGCTTACATTATAATTACCTTCAGAATAATTATTCAAGTGGTCATTTATTATACATTGTTACTTTTTATATCTCCCATATTCTAATTAGACATTTCAAGCTCCTGATCCTCCCTCCATTTAATTCAGTGACACAGTACCCACAAAGCTGGATTGGACCTTCTATGCCCACTCATTTTTTGTGAAAGCTGCATTTAAAATAAGGCCTTTAGAAGTAACAATTGTAGTTCAGGGTCCAAACAAATCCATATCTTCAGGGAGAATGAGGGAAGAAATTTAAGTCATCTGAATCATTTGCAGAGGTCAGTGCAAGACCATATGCTGTGGTTTTCTTGAAGCAGCATGGAAGGTTTGCAGTAAAATAGCCTAAAATGCGAATTCAGGCATACATAAGCACATAGATGTTCACATACATGTACTTAAGGACTAACAGGCATCCCTCCTGAAGCCATAAATAATTCCTCTTCCTGTCAAGTTAATTCTTATTGCTTCGCATACCTACAAAGATTAAAAGGTTGTCAGTGAAACTACAACCAAACCAAACCCCTTCCTCCAAAGCCAAGAGCAATGCTCCCAGGTTCTCAAATGGCTAGCAGAGAGAACAGGCTTGTGTCATGCTGATGTACAAATGGCTGTGCCAACGTTGTCTTGTAAAAATGGGTAATTGCTTCTGGCTGGGGAAACCTGTTTTGCACCGGTGAAACACTGGGACACATCCCATTGAAGGTGCAGACAGACCTGCACTCTTCAGTTTCTATCAGGTGCAGGCAGCCTCCACTCAGCCTCTCCAGAATGCTTGGAGCCTTCTCTTGCTGGGTCAAATAGGGCTTGTCTTACCATGAAAACTCCTTTTGGGTGTGATTTTTAACCTACCTTTTTTTTTCCCTCCCACCTTATTTCTACTGCATTTAAGTTGCTCAGCTCCCCTAGTCTTGCTGAGAATAGTTAGCAGTATTTTTTGTGATCAAAAAGCAAAAAATCTGAACAATGTTGTATTTGGGTGTTGACTTGCAGTGAGCTGTAAGCAGTTTCCCTCCTTTCTGTGAACGTGCTCTGCTCAGCTCCCACCAGAGCCAACCCTTAGTAGCAATGAAGACTTTCTGATCTCCTGTTTTTCACTCTCAGTTGTTCTCCTCATAGAGTTTACAGCTACCCTCCATGTCTTCCCAGCCATGCAGCAGCTAATTGCACGGAGTCCCTTATTTTTCTATAATGTTTATTATGCATTAGCCAGTACAAGTCTCCTTTGTACAATTGTCAATGCTGTTGATGGCATAAACATGCTGAACATAAACATAAAACATGACTGGTTTGGTTTATCGAGGCTCTTTTTGCCAAGCCTTCACAAGAACTGAGGAAATTGGATAATATCCCTGATCCCATGCCCAAAATTTAACAAAGATGTGAAAATATTCAACATATATTTGCACTGTTACTGTTAATATGTTTCTTGTGACCTCAGAATCTGTTGGTCATGTGAAACAAAAAAGTATCTCTTGCACAGCATTTCTGGTCCCCTTCTTAGCCTGCTCCAAAGCAATCATTTTTTTCATAAGTAAAGACAAAGGAAAAGGGATGGATCCAGTGCCCACTGAACCAGAGCTTTCCCTCTGGTGGGTTTATTTCTCACAAGCAGGGGTGTTAGGTGGTGCACAGTGCAGATCTAGAGGATGACACATTGTAGGCCTTCATGTTAAACAACTGCACAGTCTATATTAATTATTTCAAGTGGAGAGTATGTTTTGGTAAAACTCCTGCAGAAAACACACAAAGCATTTGTGAAACTATTCTGTCAAACACAAATCAAAATTTGAACCAAAGCTACTTGCATGTTTCCTCCTGTGCTGCTTAATGTCCCAGAGGTATTACATGGCACAGCACAAAGAGTAAATAAATAAAACATTCCTCTTAGGAAATAGATTGAGCTTAGCACTGTTTCTGATGGTGTGATGGTCAAAAAGATAATGATCCTTGGAGCACATGGCACCATCTCTAGAGACCTCTAAGCAAGAATGAATTAGAAATTAGTGTCAGGTAGACGAGATACTGCTTTGGTTAATTGAATCAGCTGGCCAGTCTGCTTGAATTTATGAGTGATACACATCATGCCATATACCTTTCTGGAAATGCTGGTTTGGAATTTATCACCACTCTGAAAATGTATGGGATTATCTGAAATTAAATGTCCTGCAACCCATTGTATAAATCATGCATTGGTCGGCAGCCTTTTTTTTTTTTTTCAATGTCAGTTCTGTCTGTTTGAGAGAATTTATTGTGGTAACATATGATGTGTGTTTTAAATACTAACCTGAAGCTGTCCTTCCCCTCCCTTTATTTTCTACTTTCCCTCCCCTGCAAGCTTCCATAGTGACTGTCATACAGCTTGTCAACAATGTAGTTGACACTATAGAAAATGAAGGTATTTAATTTTTTTTCTTTCTTGTTATGCAACAATGCTTCCTGTTTTCATTGTGAAAAATTCCAGCAGAACCTCACTAATCTACACTGACCAGCAAACCTGTGGCAGGGATTGGGTTTTGCAGATCAGCATGTTCACCAGCAAACATGAAAACGCCAGAGGAACATACCACAAAATGAGAGAAAAGATTAGATTGATAATGGAACCATATCATAGAGGTTATCCTGGCTGCAGAGACTGGGAAACAGAAGATGACACAGGAAGGCTGTAAAGTATCCCATGCTGCACTAGAGCTGGGTTATGCGCTCCAATGGGATCACACGGAGAGGAGCAAAATGATGGTAGGCAGGTGGCTGGTTTCTCCCAGGTAACCCTGTCAAAGAGATGTGTAGACATAGCTCCATGGATGCCATGTAGCAAAGCAGCCTGATTTTCCCCTGGGGTTAATGTGCCCATTGAATAGAGCATGCCCATGGGGGTCAAGGACCCAACACTCACCTCTTCCACTGACCTCCTGGGTAACCTCAAGCTCATCAAGTTATAGGTGAACTGACTTCCCTACCTGTAAAGCAGGAATATCACTATTTTCCTTTTCCATTAAGCACTGAGGAAATGTGGTGTCTCACAGATAAACATTTATTTATTTTTACAACATATATCCTATCCGTGGGAAAATGTCCACTCAATATTAACTCACGTTATCCAGAAGTTCAACATTTCATCTGTCCATAGCAAATTTGAGCCAGATTTCAGTGATTCAGCTAATCCAGTCTCCATAATACTTAAAAACGATTAAGTAAATTATTTTGGGGAAACAACTGATTTTTTTTCTTGAGCCAGTTCACTGCAATTTTGAAAAACACTTTTGCTCCTGGCTAGCGATGGCATTTGAGTATTTGTCTGTAGTACATTTATGGATTTCCTGAAGTGTGAGTGCCATTCTTCTCATTATCAAATAAATGTAATAGCCAAGGTTAATACAAAAAGAAAATCCCACTCAAAAAATAAGAAAATAACCTTGAAAAGAAACCACAGGCACTGAAAACGTCCTTTCCTTCCTAAAGGAAGGCTTAAGCAAACACACTGGTTCCCCATCATGCTTTACATATCCGAAAAAGCCAGTTTGGCATCAGTTTCAAGAGGTTGCACTGAAAATGCTTTTCCCACTTCTCAGTTCCTTATTATGAGACTTAGGACTCTTGCCTGCTTTGCTCTGGAGAAGCGGTGAATAATTAGCCACACTGGAGCTCTGGCTGCTTGGTAGGCAGAATCACTGCCACAGAGTCATGAAAGAGTGGGGCTCCTGCCCCAGGGACCTGCCGGGGGTTGTGCAAGTCAGCAA